AACTCTGATCTTTGAATATAGCATTTTATGATATTTAAGTTATTCAGCCAAATTGATGAATTTGCAAGTTTTGTTATATATTATATATTAGTTTATTTCAATATTTGTTTAAGATTTTTTCTTATATTTGTTTTTTGGCTTAAAAGTTAATTTAATATAGATATTTGAATATGAGTAAAATTTTTTGAATAGTTTAATGATAGGAATTGACTTATTTGTTTATGTTCTAGAAATAATACTGTAGTAGGATCAAATAATATATATATATATAAGTTTTGGTACTGTTTTTGAAAATGGGTTAGGTATAATGATTTTTTGAAATTGTATTAAACTGCATAAATTATAATTAATAATAAGAGATTGGATTCTTTGTATAATGCTGCATAATATTATTAAAATGCTATATACTGTAATATTGTTATTAAGTGATCGTTCAGAGTTATTATGAATAGTAAGTTCTGTAATAAACAGAATTATACGTATTAACATGTATAATTTATTTTTGTTGCAAAATCAATATTTCTGAATAGAGAGATTTTTTACATGATAGTATATGAAAGTCATGATTTTCATATCAAGTTATAGTATAGAGTAAAGTATGGTGCCGTAATTAGTTATGTCATATAAAAATTGTAATAATATAATAAAATCATTAATAAAAATATGTAATAATACAATTTTGACATGATATAATAATTATGGCACCATACTTTAGTATAGAGAAATTTTTTGGTATTGTACAACATTTCAAGTTCTTATATACATATATGTATAATAATAGTTGGATTTACTACGTGCTTGTATTTTATAGTTAGAGTTGGGTGATCATGTGTTATATTTGGTCTTGTATTTAATATAAGTCTGTCTAAAAATGTAATTTGGATTTTGATTTTGTACAAAGATAAAAAAAGTTGTTTTTATTTTAAACGTCAAATAAAATTGATAAGTACAGATTAGCAAAAAAACATCTTTTTTTATATAAAGTATAAGAATGATTGTAATTTCGAAAAAAAACAATTTTTAGAGAAGATGTTTTACAGATTATTATTTTAGAAAAACAAAAAGTTAATTTGTTATAAATTTTATATATAAGAAAAAGTTTGAGCCTAATAGACAGAAAATTTATGTATTTTTGATTAATTAGAAGTAGTTATATAGAAAGTAATTAATCAAAATTGATTATATGAATTTTAAGCATGGTGGGTTTGAAGTAATATTGTATGTTTTAGTTGTATGGTAGCGTAAGAAAATATCTATTTAATGATAGTTGGTTCATTGGTATTGTTAGAATTACCTTGTGTGGTAGTATTGTTTTGCAATACTGGATCAGTATTTTTAATTTGAGATATGGTATTTAAAAAATTAAATTCGGTTTCAGGAGAAGCTTTTTGGGTTTTAGAAGAAAAAGAGGTAGTTAATAAATTTGATTGTTTTCTTTTTCTTAAAAAAGAAGAGCTTAGTTTAGCATATTTTTCTTCAATAGTATCAAAGTGATTATTGATATCATTTTGAGCTTTTTCTTTTTCTTTATTTGAGGTCTCAGGGGATTGTTCGTTGCTAGCATAGTTCCATTTGATATCAGAAGCTATAATATGAAGCATTTTTTTAGTACCAACTTTTAATTTTCCAATTACAGAAAGAACAGTTTTTTTTTAGGTTGTTTTTCAGCGCATTGTAACAACTATTTTGATTAGAGTAAGAAATGATTACTTCTAACTCTATATTTTTGTTTCCAGTGACACCATTGTAAAGTTTTTTTAGAGAGTATGAAACTTTCTATACCGAGGTCATTGTTTGAAAAGTAGAAATCAGGGATGACAGGAGTGGAATATAATAGTAGTGGTGATGCATGGAAGAGGTCACTTGGGGTAAGCTTGATTTTGTCAGAGATAGAAATTGGTATAGTTTGCACTAAAGTAAGCTAAATTTTTTTGAAAGGTGAAATAAATAAAATTAAAAAAAAAGTTTAAAATTAAAGTGATGCGGATTTAATTTATTGGTTCTTGTAAAAATTTGTTTAGAGAAGTGTTGCTTAGATAAATATGCGTAATTACGTATAGTATGATTATATGGAAGATGACAAAATAGTGAGATAATTGAATTTATCAGTAGTTAACTCGGTTATTAAATTATAAAAAATTTTATATAAAAGGTTAAAATTTGTTTGGTCAGGTTATAAGAACCAATTAATTGTTTATTAATTTATAGTAGCTTATGTTTACATATTCTGTATCTTTGAGTACATAGCGCCCGATCATTAGTACTATTGAATTTTTCTCCAATTCCATAATTAGAGAATTCTGGGCAATCATAAAACTTTTATAGATTAATTCTCTGAATTCAGTTTCGGTATTGTTAGTTCTGTAAAAAGCATTTCCGTAAATACATTTGTCACTTCCTGAGATAGTTTTGACAAAGCATAAGGGACATGACAAAAATCATGTGATTTTTTTTGGGAGAGAGGGATAAAAAATTTAAAGTTATATATAAAGACCTGATCAAGATATATAGTAAGAGGGGAAGAGGTAAGCCTCTGATAAAAAAAATCAAGTGATAAATAATACTGCCCTAAGGCTATGAAGATCGAGGTCATTTTTTTTTCTTGTAAAATGAAGAATTATTTTTTTGAAAAAAAATATGATTGATTTATATATTTATTTATTTTACACATTTTTTTATTTTTCTTAAAGTAGTATGATTTTTGGAATAGGTTTTTGTATTTAATAATGATAAGCAAGTTTTGAATTATTGTTTTTGAGTTGTAAATTTTAATAGGTTTTTCTTTTATGCTTCTTATCGACTTAAATTAGATGATAATTGATTATTTGAGCATTGGCAAAAGCAATCTTAAAGATCAGAATAGATATCAAGTAGGTTCATTTTTCTTGTTTTTTTTTTCTAAAGTTAATTATTGGTTATTTATTTATTTATTTTATACTGAATATTGAAAATGGCATGATATTTTTAAGAGATTAAAGTTTTATTATCTATTTATAGTTGATAAGTAAATTGATAAGGATTGTATTTTGGTAGATGTAAAAGATCGAAATTTATAAAAGTTTCATCTAAGGTTTGTTCACAAAAGTTTGTATAATTCGGTAAAATAAGTAATATTAGTACGAGTTAAAATGCGAAATGAAGTTTAACAAAAGAAATAAGTGAAGCAACATATAGTAATAATTCAAAAAAGAATGTAATAATGAATATAGTGATATATATTTGTATTGAGTGTTATTTAGAAATCAGTCTGAAGCTAGATCAAAATTCGAGATTAGATTTCTGCAAGTTATCTGCAAAAATAATGATAATTTAGAAATCTTAATTTGAGAAAATTGGATAAATTGAATTGATGAATGTGTGTTCAAGTTTAAACTTAAACATATAGTGTAAGAAATTCACGATCTTGTAAGTTTCTTGCTTTTTTTTTTTGTATTTAATAAATAGCAATACTATTCAAGCAATTGTTTATATTTAATGTATGTGTGATTTTCTTTTTATAATTTTGGTTAAGCTTGTATTTTTTATTAAAATTTTGTGTTTTGGGTTTTTATGTCGTTGAGAACTAAATTTGTATAATTGATTAGTTCTTAAAAATATCAAGATAAAGTAGTATGAATCTAGTTAATAAAAGGTGTGTGAATATTTTATTTGTTTGTTTTGGGCTTTTTACGTTATCGATAACTAAATTTGTATAATTAATTAATTCATCAAAAATATCAAGATAAAGTAGTATGAATCTGGCTATAAAAAGTATGTGAATATTTTGTTCGGTTTATCAAATTTTATTAGTTTTTTTT